ATATTTAATATTTATTTTAATAATATTTTACATATTTTTAAAATAAAAAATTAATAAAAAAATATATAAATCAAAAGTTAAATCACTTAGAAGGGTTGTTAAACAAAATTATAGTTTTTATTTGTGTCAATTATAATGTAATCTTTATAATCATTTTATAATTAAGAAGTTCATTTCTTTTGTTAAGTTGTTTAATGGAGAACAGAAGTTCGCAGCAATGAGATATCCCAAATGTAAACCCAAGAAATGACATGAAAACCTAATTTGCTGAATTTCAATTTTTTTTATTATTTGCTAGTTGTACAATGGTCTGTTACCCTTAGTATTCCCACTCCATTTGAATTCTAACTCAAACTCAACCTTTATTTTCAAGAGAAAGCAGAAATAAGAACAATTAATGCATGCACAAGGATCGTGAAATTGTTTTAGGCAACTTTGAAAAGAACTTTTGGAAAAAATTAATGCATAAGAATTGTGAAATTATTCTAGGTAACTTTTAAAAGATTTTTTTGGAAAAAATTGTCAATGATTTAATTAACTTATTATTAATTTCAAGTGAATGGAATAGAGTATGATATAAGAAAGAATTGCTTATTATTATGCAATCAATATTAAAAAAAAAAAAAAATCTTTTGGAAAAAATTAAAAATGTGCTTATTGATCACGTTCGTTATCTCCTGGTTGATGAAGTGAGCAACTCCTTCCATCACAACCCCTTCCTCTAGTAATGGCACAACTTTCTTGAATCCACCTTCGTTGTGAATATAATCCTTCATTCCCGGCGTATGATACACAAGATCTTTGATCTCCAATCAAAAACTTCACCGGTACGTTGATCTGACTCCCCAACCACGGCGCCAAAAATTCACAGTTTCTAAGAAATTGGAATCCAAAAATGGTGGCAAAGTAACTTCAAAATAAAGAAACTACGGCTAGCTGGTCTAAGAAATTGGAATAAAACCATACCGCTTCAAGTTCCTGTAATAATTGACACCTCCAGTGAAACCTGTCTTCTCAAACTTGCCAACGTTGTACTTGACATCTTCCTCTTCGGAGGATGTCCGAACGGCTTACCTCTAGGAAAAAGGAGAGGACCTGGAACTCTGTTCGCCACGAGCTCCTTCGTAAGTTTCTCCGCTCCGATCTGTGCAAAATCTGCTTCGATTTCTCTTGGCTCCTGCAATTCAGTCATTTAATTAATTAATCAATTTGGATTATCTTTGATAATTGATTTCTCGGATCTGCAACTAAGAAAAACAGATTTGAAATTGAAATGAATTCGAAATATGACCTGAAATCTGCAGATGTAATAGTCCTTACCGTAAGCAGCTCTCCAGGCGTCGACGGGCTTCTTTGTTGGATCAAATCAGAGATAAGGTACGCTTAAGTTCACCAGAGCCTTGATTCTGTCTGGCCGGAACGAGTACAAATACCAAGCAACGATTGCGCCCCAGTCATGGGCGACGACGAACACCTTCTCCTGGACTGCGGCAATAGCATCGAGAAGAGCAATGAGATCGCCGCCCAAGTGGAAGCAAGTGTATCCGCCGACTGAATCTGCTAAGTTGGTGTCACCGTAGCCACGGACGTCAGGAGCCACGGCACGGTAGCCTAGAGAGGCAAGAGCGAGGATCTGGTGGCGCCAGGAGTACCAGAGCTCCGGAGATCTGTGGACGAAAAGAATTAGCAGACCTTTGCCTTTCTCTGCTACGTCCTACGTGCATGTTTATGCCGTTGACGTTCACAGTTCTGTGCTCTATCCCCTCCGTTTTTTATTTCTGTCTCTCTGAATTCTTAAAATTTTTTATTTTTAATAGAAAGAAATTATTGTGAAGATATTTAGGTTTTTGTTGGCAATTTTTCTTTTAAGTGTAGTTATAGATTGGATTCATGTGATTAACACACCAAACTACTACATAAAATAAAGGAAATATCCAATTTCACATTCCAACTCCACTACTTAAAATACGTGTATAGTATTATTTTATCAGAAAATAATGTGATGATGCCGCATGTTAAGCAATTGCAGATCCAGTTGGCTACTATCCATAAAGAATGGGGTTCTTGTAGTAAGAAATAATTCATGACTTGCGAGGGCATTTTTTCATGGATCATCAATTTTGTTTTTGTATGACTTCTAGATATGTACGAAAGGTAGTGGTAGGCATATTTTAGATATTATCCAAATATTTAAATTTCTAATTTAAAATTTTAAATCTTAGTTTGAATCATTTATATATTTAAATAAAATTAAAATAATCGAAAATAATTTTGATTTGGATACAATTATTGACTTATACATAAAATTAACGATATAAGTCATTAAATTATCTGAAAATTTTTAATATTAAATAATTATATATGTTTTTTAATAGAAATTTTTTGTCAAGTTTATAGTACGAGATTTTTTTTTTTAAAAAGCTTTTAATAACCAACAATGAAAAATAATGATACAATAATATTGATACATAAAAATTTTAATTATTTTAGTTAATTAACTAAATTATCTAAAATTATAACCAAATCAAATATTTGGTTTGAGTTTGCTATGAAAGTCACATGCAATTTCAGATAATTAAAAATTTAGTTTGATTTATTTTAATCTAGACAATCCCAATAGAATGCCTAACACTAATTAGAAGATTTCATTTTCGTACCCAATATTGAAATTAAATTCATGTGATTAAATTGATATATATAATAAATAAAATTTTTTAACATGTGAAAATTATTAAAAAAAATAAAATTAGATACAATGGAGAGCACAAGAGTGACGGCAAGGGGGGCGGCAACAGGGAAAGAAGGTGACTACAGACAGTGGCAAGGGCACAGGAACTGGTTTGCAGTAACAGGGAAAGAAGGTGGCTACAGACAGAGGCGATGGAACAGGAACAGGGTTGCAAGTTATGATTCTCAATTCTCTGGCTGGACAACGACATTTTTCTTTGCTAATTTTTCGGAGGATCTGGAAGCAAAATTTCTGTGGAATTGCTTTCAGAGATATGGTAAGGTGGTAGATGTGTTCATTCCGAGCAAACGAGATAAACGAGGGAAGAGGTTTGGGTTTGTGCGGATGGCGGGAGTTAAGAATGAGTTCCAAATGGAGGGGCAGCTTAACACGATGTGGATTGGCACGTATAAGATCAAAGTGAGGATTGCAGATGAAAGGCAAAGGAAACCAGCACAGTCCAAGAAAATAGAAGGTTCAGTAAAGGACCATGGATCATCGAGCAAAATGAATAGGCTGGTCCAACCAGGACAATCATACGCACAAGCAGTGAAGGCCAAAGGAAAGAGAGAGGACAAAGCACCAATACAGACACAGGACAAGGACGAAGAAGAAACTGCGGTTGAGGATGAGGTTAAAGAGAGGGCGGAGGAGAATATGGTAGTGGAATATACTCCGTCGGGTGAAGATTTGAAATGGCTTGAAGGTGGTATGGTGGCAGTGGTGAGATCGCTGGCGTTGATATCTGAGATTCAAGAAAGCTTCGACATTGACGGAGGCTCAATCTCGTTATCACCAATTGGGGGAAGACGAGTATTATTAACTGAAAGAGTAGTAGGATATCTATCTGAGTACAGGAAGATTAATGAAGAATTATTTGATCTGTGGTTTGAATCCATAAAACCATGGGAGATGGCACCAGAGGAGACAAGTAGAATGGCCTGGCTGCGGATATCAGGAGTGCCATTAAAGGCATGGGGAGAAGGGTGCTTCCAAAGGATAGGTGAGACAGTCGGAGAAGTATTAATGATCCATGAGGACACAAAGAACAAATCAATCTTATAGGATGGGAGAGTACTGGTATTGTGCTCAGAGTCCAGGAAAATTGAAAAAAGAATTAAATTGAAGGTGGGCGATCAGCTGTATGAATTAGAGATAGTAGAGGAGGAGTGGCGGTCAGATCCGGACTGGTGGTTGTCGGAGAACGACCGGAAAAGTGATCAAAAAACGGAGTCCGACGAATACTCTGTTGCATGGAGTCAGAATGAGGATCCTGCAATAAATGTGGATGGGATTTGTGAAGGAGATGACGTGAATTCTGATTCAGTGCAATTAATGAAGGATATGGTTTCAAATTTGAATTTGAAATGTGCAACGGGAATGGAAAGCTGGAAACAAAGTGCATCAGAAAAGGAAGTCGCAGATGATGAAAGTGATGGGCGGGCTGCAGAGTGTGGGCTTCAAAGGCTGAGTTTGGTTGGGCCAGGAATAAGGAGTGGGCCGGTTAATAGTATAGAAATTGGAGGGTCAAAGGAGTTGAGCTTAGAAGGGCCTAATATAAACACCCATAAATCAGAATTTGCAGCAACATCGCATAAAACGGAAAACAGAGTACCAGTGAACAAAAAGCACCGGCCGATCCAAGCTTGCTACCCAGAAAGAATGGAGGAGATCAGGGCGAAGGTGACTCCGACGGAAACAGCTAGAACAAGACAGAGTTCGATTCGAAGGGTGGGCGATCAACAAGCAAAGGATGACAAGGTACACATAGGGGGGAGTATGTCAATTTCGGATGGGTGTATCAAAAATAGAAATAGGGTGATCCATAGGGAGATGGATTTGTATGAGGTGAGACGGATGATGAGGGTGGGAAAGAGGTTGGGTATCCAATTTGATGAGAATGATGAGGAAATTCAATTTAGGTTGCTAGAGGCAGAGTTTCGGGAAAGGGCAGGGAGGAGTGACGGGTTGGGGGTATAAAGAGTGGGTATGTGATGTGGAGTTGTGTGTCTTAAATTGTTTATATGAAGATTATATCCTTCAATGTAAGGGGTTTGGGAGGGACGGTGAAGAGGAAGGAAGTGGGTAAGCTTGTTAGAGAGGAAAGGCCGGAATTTCTGTTCCTGCAGGAAACAAAGTTAGAGAAGATAGATGTGGGTATTTGTAAGCTTTTATGGTATTCTGATGAATTTGAATGGGTTGCGAAGGCCTCTTCTGGAGCATCAGGGGGTTTGCTATGCCTATGGGATAGGAGGCACTTTGTTAAGCGGGAAGAATTTTCTGGTGATGGGTATGTGGGAATTTCAGGGGAATGGGGAGTTAACAAGCAACAATGTAGTCTAATTAATGTGTATGGCCCAAACGATAGACAGAAGAGGGCTAAGTTGTGGGAGGAGATGAAGAAGATGGTGATAGAAAAGGAAGGGAGGTGGTTGATAGCAGGGGATTTTAATGCTGTCCGAGGCCCGGAGGAGAGACGAGGTAAATCAGAGGTGAGGGCAGATATGAGGGATTTTGACGAGTTCATTGAGACAACAGGGTTGGTGGATATCAAATTGACGAATAGAAGATATACATGGTACAAACCAGACGGAACAGCAAGGAGCAGACTGGATAGATTTTTGTTGAGTACGGAGATGAATAATTTGGGAGGTGAGTGGATTCAACAGGGATTGCCAAGAAACATATCTGATCATTGTGCAATGGTTTTGAAGTCCAAAACAACTGATTGGGGACCAAGACCTTTTAGAGTTTTGGACGCATGGAAACAACACCCAGATTTCAAGAAGGCTGTAGAAGATAAGTGGAGAGAGATGGCAGTGGAGGGGTATGCAGGGTATAAATGCCAGCAAAAGCTAAAATTGTTAAAAGAATTTTTAAGAGGATGGAACAAGGAGGTATTTGGGAACATGGAAGCCCAGTATGTGCAAGCTGTTAAAAAAATAGAGCAGATCGATATGCAGAATGAGGAAGCCGATCTAGAAGATTTTGAGATTGCTAAAAGACAAGAAGGATTTGATGAGATGTGGGATGTTTTGAGAAAAAGGGAACTAATCTTGAAGCAGAAGTCAAGAAGCAAGTGGGTGCGAGAGGGTGATGCGAATTCCCGATTTTTTCATAGAGTGGCAAATGGGAGAAAGGCTCAAAACAGTATTGCAGGTTTGATGTGTGATGGGGGCTGGATTGAAGATCCAGATACAGTTAAAAATGAGGCTGTTAAATATTTTAGAAGTTGTTTCCAAGGGGACTCATGGAATAGACCCAAGCCAAAGGGTATCAAATTCAAAAAGATCTCTGAGGAGAAGAAAGAATGGCTAGAAAGACCATTTACGGTTGAAGAAATTGAGGAAGTGTTAAGGAGCTGTGATGGTTCAAAGGCACCGGGTCCGGATGGTTTTAACTTCAATTTTCTTAAATCGGCGTGGCTTGGCATAAAGGAGGATTTCATCAGTTTTTTCTCTGAGTTTCATCAGAATGGTAAACTGGTGAGGGGCCTAAACTCTTCCTTTTTAGCTTTGGTGCCTAAGAAATTGAATGCTGTGAATTTAAAGGATTATAGACCCATTAGTTTGATTGGATGCGTCTATAAATTATTAGCGAAGGTATTGGCTAATAGATTGAAATCGGTGATGTCAGATATTGTGAGTGAAACTCAATCTGCTTTTGTGGGGGGCCGTCAATTGATTGATAGTGTATTAGTGTTGAATGAAGTAGTAGATGAGATTAAGAACAGAAAGCAGCCAGCTTTTGTCTTTAAAGCAGACTTTGAAAAGGCATATGATTGCGTTGATTGGTCTTTTTTAGACTGGATGATGGATAGTTTTGGCTTTGGAATAAAGTGGAGAGGATGGATTATGGAGTGCCTTTCAACTGCGAGAATTTCGATTTTGGTAAATGGAAGCCCGACAAGGGAATTTGAGGTAGGAAAAGGATTACGTCAAGGGGATCCTTTATCCCCTTTTCTGTTTTTAATGATTGGTGAGGGGTTACAAGGCCTGGTACAGAAAGCAGTGACGGAGGGAATGCTACATGGGATTGTGATTGGAAAGAACGGGTTGAA